ATATCTTGAAACGAGATGAAAATTATAAAAATGAACGAATTTACTAAAATACTGATAATTTCATTGATCAACACCTAGTAAATTTGTTCACTTGTAATTTTCATCTTGTTTGAAAATATAGAATCGACCCCAAGGTCGGAATGGATTCCGATCGAAATTATTCAATTATTCTCTAGATTTCTATTGCATTTTTTAGGGAAAAATCAGAATTCCGATCGGAATTCATTCCGACATATTCCATGATAGGTACTTATAAGTCCGTTTTTTTTTGCTATACTCTGCACTCTCTGAACTAGTATACACAATGCAATAAGTTGAAATGAAACAAATGAAGAAAGGTTCAATTGTGCACTGTAGCAATTGCTCACTACCAATCACAGTGACTTCTACCTAGAAAGTTTTTTTTTTTTTCTAGCGCTATGATTGACTTGTATATAATTAAATCGTGGGCAATTGCAAGCTTCTCAAACAAATGTATATTTGACAATAAAAAACAAACTTAAGGGAACCCTAAATCAACAGGAATTACCAACAATTGCAGATTGCTAATTTATCTGAATTGACTTTATAGATAACCAAATCCTTTTACACAATAAAGTACGCACAAAAAAAGAACATCGGCCACACTAAATTTGACAAGAAAATCGGAGAAAAAATTAAAAGTTCACTTTATTTCAGCTCTCACAGCATCTCAGGTTATAATTTCTTTAGTGCAGAAATTCTGTAAGTACTAGTATTCCTAGAATACAGAGTTCGACAATCTCGTAAAGCTCTTTTTATTGGATCAGAAGTCAGACCCCCTGAAAATGGCGGAACCAATCACCACACAAGTCTTTCACAATTTTTTGGGAAGATAATGCATTGTATTACCTGTCTTCCATGAATTAGAACATTTTATTACGCAACTGTACGACATTCTGTATCCTGTAAATACAGAGAATTATTGTCATAGTACTTTTATACTCATAAATACTCATACTACTATTCTACTTTCTATATTTATAACATATTTTTTGTTACAGAATTTTATGAAACATTTTATGCGCATTTTTCTCACCGTATAATTTCGGTATTTTGTATTTCTTATAATATTATAGTATTTTGCTTTATTTATTTATTTATGCTCTTTATAATCTCGGATTTATTCTCTCTCGTTTTTATTGCACTAGTGCAAATATGCAACAGAAACGCGCAGATAGGACCATTTTTGGGATCAATTGCTGGACTCTACGTATTCTAGGAACACTAATTGGACTACATTATCATTTAATGATGGAAAAGGATTCTTTAATCTAAAGACAATTAGAAAAATACTTGTTTGAAAAAATTGATAAAAACAAATTTACTTTAGAATCCTCTTAATTAATAAAAAGCGTCACACTTTACCATCATTTCTACACGAAAAATTTCCGAATTGGATTTATGCATTGCAAAATTGTTATTACATAATTAAAGTATGCACAAAAGACTTCAGCTGCATTAGATTTCACGAAAAAATTGAAAAAAAGTTAAAAAAGAAAAAGCTGCTATGAATAGCCAGATAATATAATACATTGATACATTGCAAAAATTAATATCATCTCAATCAATTTGACTCGTAGCCATTTTTCAATATTGGTTTTTAAATTTTATAAACCTTATTAATAATAGACATAAATTTATCTCATTTTAAGTTCAAAATGGAGATTTCAAGCAACGCAAACAGACTTATGGCAAAATTATATTTTTTCTCTACAGTTAGAGTGGAAATAAAAAACAGACTTCATATACCATAAAATTCACAGTTTCTGACAGATTGAATTTTTATTCTGTTCTCTATTCCTTTCTTGGAAATTAATAAGAGTCAAAAATAGAGAATAAAATCTTTTTTTAAAAAATTATCAAAGATTTCTTTTACCATTAACAATATCGCACAATATTGCATTGCATAAAATATTTATTGTGTGTGAAAGTAACAATAATTACGATTACAGTTATAATAAATTATGGTATAATGGTAGATAATGGTGGAAAAGGATTTTGTTTCGATATAACTAATTTTTTATGCTGATAAGATATGTAACCTTTAATCTTGCCTTCATATATTAAATTGGCAAGAAGACATTCTGTTTCATCCATATCTATATCCTCCATTCCATACATCTGTAACGCCACAAGTAAGCTCAGCACTGGTATTTGATGTGTATTTAATGCTAAGTACACTTTCTTAAATAAATTTCTATAAGCGATCAGTTTGAGTTTTTCCACGATTAGATATATGCCTGCGTCAATAAAAAAAGTTTCATGTTTTGCCATTACTCCTTCTAAAGAACGTAAATCTCCTTTCCTTACAGATTCCATCAGTTCCCAAAATTCCATTAAATTATATTTCTCTAAGAGATGTTGCTTGGGCATATATCCCAGTAGCATCTTGACAGGTATAAGATAAGTCAAGATCAATCTCTTATTTTTTGAGCATTGTATGTGACAATGTTCAAATGCATAAGTCAGATATTCATCGGCTAAAACAATTTGATAGAGTATTTCTCTAATATTATTTAAGTAAAAGTAATCAATCACTATACAATCACTATAGTTTGCAGGAAGCAAAATAGAAAAGTATATTTACCAATCTTATAATCGCTGTCAAACATGGCTTTCCGGCCAACGAAAAACTTATAAGTAATTTGTTGCGCTAATGCAAAGTGATCTTTATAAGGGGATGATTCTATAGCCCGTATCAAAGGTCTGCACAAATGTAATTTATTAATTCTGAAATAAACTTTCAGTAATTGATTAATTAAGGCTAGCATTCCCCATCGTTTCGTGTCTTCTTCTGAACTTCTACTGTCAGCCGCACAAACTCGAAAACAGGCCATCAAGCATTCAGCACATTTCTCCAGGACTTCACCAGGCTTTACATTTTTATTGTTTTTAGAATTTTCTGCACCTATTGCCAATAGTCTTAGTTCCAAACACATTACATTCATTACTGGTAACATCCAATTTTCTTCTTTCTGCATTTGTAGAATCTTTGCAAGATACTGTACAGCAGAGCTTTGATAATTGTACATAGCTAAAGGATCGTTCTTGTTCATAGCAGATACAGCTCTACGAAGAACAAAAAATTGTTTGCACACAGTGTAACATAACAACATTTGAATAAGTTATAAAAAAGAAATGTATTTTACTTTAAGTGACAAAGTACCAAGTCGTCTAATGGTGTAGATATATGTTCCATGGCTTTGTTTACGGCAGTTTCTGATCCTATTTGAGGTATTGAAACATGACTATGTCGCAAAGACAAGAGATCCTATGACAAAAAATTAACATTCGCATAATTGATCCTAGAGTAATTACACAGTTTAATACAATCATCTCAAAAATTAATAAAATTAGACTTATTCCATGCGTTTTTGCATAAAATGAAAGAAATAAACATTGCTCTTCTTCGTGAACCGAGATATTAAGCATTAAAGTTGACGACTATTGAGAGTAATTATTTAGAATAGTCCCTTCTCCCCCCTCTCCCACCTCAACCTAAAATCTTAATAAAGATATACTCAAAATATATACAAAAATATACTACTTGATGCATTTTCACTCAAAATGAAAGAATGAGAAAAAAAATGCGGCGATCGGTCTTGTGAATCGAGTTTTAAGAGACTTTAGGGATTAAGACTTTTAGAGATTAAGATATCTGTCATTCCGACTCAATATAGCACTATGTATGCGTTCTACTTCAATTACACGAATTCACTGCTTTAAAAACATAAATTCTCTGCTTCACAAATACAAATTCACTGTTTTAAAGACAAAAATTTACCGCTTCAAAAACACAAATTCACTGCAAAAAATTTGTGTGCTTAAAGCAGTGAATTTTTGTTCATAAAACAGTGAATTTATGTTTTTAAAAGACGTGAATTTTATGTTTTTAAAGCAATAAATTTATTTTTAAAGTAGTGAATTTGTGTCTGTGAAGCAGAGAATTTGTGTAATTAATGTAAAATGTATAAGTAACGCTGTATCGAGTTGGGAGAACAAGAATCTTAATCTCTAAAGTCTCCAACTTTAATGTTCAATATCTCTGTTCGCGAAGCAGAGTGACGCTTATTTTTGTCTTTCATTTTATGCAAAAACACATTGAATAAGCTGAATTTTATTGATTTTTGAAGTAATTGTATTAAAGTGCATAATTCAATCCTAGATGAAAATATTCATGCATTATTTACCGCCAATCCTTCTCCATCCTGATTAAGCCATACTCGCCGAATCTGCAAAATAAACAAGACGAAAAATTATTTTACAGTAATACATTACTGTATTGGTGTTCATCATTCACTTTACACCATACCTGCATTGCATAAGAATCCATTTTAATTGTAATTAAAATATAAATAATAAATCTTTGCGGATAAATAAATTTTCAATCAAATGATAGATTTTATTTTGGAGATATTAGAGTTCTAGAAGAGTTCTCTCTTTTGTCAGAGAGAAAAACGCGACTGACTTATGTCAGTATCGCAAAAGAATTAAAAAGTACTAGAAAAGTGAAGTAAATTGCAGCGAAATCTCACTGGCGAAAATTCCCCATTAAGTTCCCGATTCGTGCGAAAATGCGAAACTAGCGAAGCTTCGCTTAGGGTGTCGTCATATGAAGCGTAATCTGGACTGCGTTCAGGAATTAAGCCTAGATAATTCTAGGATGCATTTTTGCTATAATATACGTAATCTATTAGAGTTATTTAGGCGTAATTTGCAACTCTGCGTTCACCCTTAGGGTGAAATCACATGGTACAGAAAACGATTGCGGAATAGAGAATGCGTCATAAAAGCAATCAATCAATATTATTCTGCATTATTCCAAATTGCACTAATTAGTTGTTTCAATGACATATTCTCTATTCCCTTTTCCGCACTGTGTGATTTTACTCTAAGGGTTAAATTACATGGTCCGGAATAGGAATACAAGGGATCGATTCTGGATATCTTCAAACAAGATGAAAATTACAAAAGCGAGCAAATTTACTAGGTATGAATTATATTGACCAATGAAATAATTAGTATTTCAGTAAATTCGCTCACTTTTATAATTTTCACCTCGTTTCAGGATATAGAATCGATCTCCATAATGCGTCATTAAAACAATCAATCAGCACTTTTTCATTACGCAAGTTTGTGTGTTCACATGATGTCAAAGATCTATCCAGCATGAATATAATTTAAAAACAACTTACTTGTTAATAATTTACTTATGTTAATAATTTAATAATAATTTACTTATTAAAATGAAATATAATTTTTCAAATGTAAAAAAATTATAAAAATAATTATCACTGTTGTATAATAGTATTTAATGTTTTACAATTAAATTATTTACAATCTCATAACAATTTTTTTTAACTGCTTTAACGCATTTATTATCGATGTGAACATAAACATACAAAATTGGCGTAATGGAAAAGTTCGAAAACGGGCACATTGAAATCGCAATCGTAATGCATCATTGTTTTTTTTTTATCTTGGTATCTACATTTATGCATTCAGATTTTGTCATTTTGCTTCATTTAACTCGACATTATGCAATTCCATCATATCAATCAGCATCAAATTATTTTAACTTCTCAAAATACAACGATTTATTACAAGAACAATGACAACATCAAATGCGGAATAGCGCTGAATAGTTGTTTCAATGACACATTCTCTATTCTGCAGTCCTATTCCGCACTGTGTGATTTCACTCTAAGCATAACCTGCAGTTCTAGTAATATTATATTCTAGTTATATTTTATTTACTAGAATACGCCATTCTGAAAGGGATTCATATTGAGTGTATTTCGCGGAAGATTAGAGAAATGCGACCAATTGCCGATCAAAATTTCTATTGTACATTCTAACAGAAATGCTAAACAAATTTATGATTGGTTTTCGTAATATACGCATCTCAAAAAGCATTCTCTCTGGGAAACCGGTATCTTTCCATTTCCATACATATGAGCAGATGATCGAATGAATTGTTATAATTAGAAAGTCTTGTGAGACCACTCTTAGGCTTATTCGACGCGTTTTTATATGAAACGAAAGAATCTGGCAAAAAAATGCGTCGCTGTGATTCGAGATATTAAGCATTAAAATTGATGACTATTGAAGTTAGGAAATCTATCATAGGCAAAATGAGGTCTATCATTGTACTGTTCCACATGAGTTTCGACTTTCCACCTGATGCAAAGAGATGTACGACTTCTATAATTGTACTGTTGTCGAAAAAATCGAAATCCATTTTTTCAGACAGAATAAGCTAAAATGAGCCAGAAATTGGATTCGACGCATGGTAGTTTCATCCATGGTAGAAGAATAGGTAAGGTATTTCATTACATATAATGACAGAAAAGTACTAGAACAACCAATCAGAAATATGTCCGCTAAAAATTTAGCGTTAAATTCAAATGCAGTTAGTAAAAATATATAACAATTGTAAAAACAAAATTAAATTTGAAAAAATATAGAAGCTCGTAAAGGAATAAAATAATAGAGTATGAAATAAAATAATGTTAATAAAGTTAATGACAATAATAAATGTAATAATTGTTTGTAATTAATAAATGTAATAATGTTAATAAATGTAATTTGATATTTAAGATCAAGACTAAAATTTATTATTTATTATAACATGCTATTATAATAAATAAACACATTTTCACAAATATATTATTTTATTAGATTTCTATTAACATTTTTTATTACATATTTTATGCATTTTATTACTTTTTTTTCTTAATAAATTATTTTCTATTATACGATATCGTCATTTTTTATTCGTAGTGTATATATGTTCTGGTACGGACAAAACACGCAATTGCTTCTTCTGGAAACATATCATTGGTTTTATTACAAACGATAATAGTTAATTTATCAAAAATTTTGCATTTGCTGTTAAAAAAATTTCCATGAAATTTTTCAAATTCTTGATCCATAATTTTAGCTACATTTAAAAATTCCGTAGATGGATACATGCAATTGCCTGTTGATAATTTGTAGGTCCAGTCATTAAATGGATTGGGTAAGCTTTTTGTAGGAAATCCTAAATTTTGAAATTGGTTTCGGAATTTACGTGCAACATATCCGGCTATATATATGAATGCATTTGACTTTATCTCTTGAGAAGTAATTAACTCGAAATCTTTTATTAATTTAATTTCATCGGGATTAAGATTATAATTACTTAAATTTAACACTAAAGAGGAAAGAAATGTATATGTAATTACGTATGTATATACTCATCGACTAAACAATCGTAACAGATTTTTTATCAGAATACAGCCAACTCACCGAAGGATTGGTTTTTACGAATCTATAAATAAGAACACTTGGTGAGCAGACTGCATTCCGAAATCCATTTAAAAATTATTGCAACCTTTTAATCGTTAAGTGTATACAGAATATATCAAAAGTCTGAAAATGGAATCGAATATCTTAAAAGCAAAGCATTTGTAAGGTTTAAGAGGATCTATTTACTGATAACATAGCACTGATATGATCATCTTAACTACAATTAATTAATTTTCATGTAAAATACTTAATAATAATAATAATTAATGAAGAATGTTTTAATTTTTGCTACCTTGTACAGTTTCTCCTTATATTTTTCTATTTTTTCCATTCTTTATACAAGGATTTATACAGGATTGAATAAGTTAATATTTTTTTTTAACTGAATAAAGTTGAAGTTAATGGCTTTACAAAATTAATAAAGTTAAATTAAAAGTTGAAGAATTACAAAATTAACTTAATGCAAATTAAATCAATATTGAATTAATTTAAAAAAAAAGTTAATTTTGAAAAAAATTATTTTTTAAGTCAAAATGTCCTAAGTTTTCTTAAAATGAGATTAAATAATTACAATATAGATTATTAAATAAATTAAATTTAAAATTTTTTTATTCATATGTGATACATTTGGACGCTGATGTGTTTAAAGTGCATGAGCGTTAATGGTTTCGGTACACCAGCGCGATTTGCGATTTACAGATATATAGTCAGATAGGGTTTTAGATATTTTTTTTTACTTTTTAATAAGTCTTAAACCATAAGAAATTGACCAATTACAATCGATTGCGAAAAGAATATTTGACTTGTAATTGGTCAATTTCTTATGACTTAAGGCTTAAAACTATTAGATCCGGACTAAGGCTTATAACATAAGGCATAACCGCATAAACCAATCAGAGGGCTGTATTAGCATCTTAAGACATTAGAAATACTTAAGATGATCTTAAAATATAAACAGATTACGAATATACGCCCTTAGTCTTATTATATCTTATTATTTTTCTAAGATATTTAAAAGAGATAAAAAAATTTTTTAATTTAAAAAAAAAGTAAAAAGTTGAAAATAACTTAGTTTAAAATTTAATGCATTTAAAATTAACTAGTTAATTAACTAAGTTAAATTAAAAGTTATTAACTTTTTTTTTTAACTTTTAACTACTCAAGTTACTAGTTACTACCCAACTCTGGATTTATAATATCTTGTTCTAACTATTGAATGGCATAAACATTGCTTCTTCTTCGATTATGTTTTCATTTTCTAAGAGAAACTCGGAAATGTCAAGATTAATAAGATCTGGATTATTTATAACTTTTATATCAATAAGTGTAGCACAGTTATTGTCTCCTTCGATATTTTCTCCTGCCGAAAGCAAGAGAAAATCCATTCCTGAATCCTTTTCCAAGATATACCACTTTAAATGATGTTTTAATTGAACAGGTGTAGGATGATCGCATCTTTCTCTCATAGATCTCAAGTAAGAAAAAAAATTTTCCAGGATATCTTGGTTTAATCTTTAATCCTTGTTAATAAATATTTTACAGCAAATGCTTCCGATGAGTAGAAATGAGAGTTGGACAAAGAAAAAGTTTATTATGTTATACAACATATGTATTCATATGTTGTAAATATGTAAACATTTTTTGCAAAGATTTGTTGCATAATAAAATTCTCTTCTGGAATTGTAATAAACCTTTTCTTTGTCCAACTCTCATTTCTTTGATAAATATATTCATGTCATTAATTACTTTATCTTGTTTTTCTAAATTTATTCCGTGCGACGTACTATTATGTTGATATTTCAAATTGCTATCAAATCACTTATTGAATAAATTCAAAATTTCAGAGGTTTGTTTCTATTGTAGATTGACTAATAAATTATTCTCTCCACACCATTGTAAAGTCAATGCATTTATATTTGAGAAGACTTGGGCTGCCATTTTGACGTTTTAACATTTTATTCCTTTCTTTTCTTTTCTTTTTGTTTTTTTTCCTTTCTTTTTTTTTAGCATGGTTCCATTATAGATTTGTTCGCGTCGCATGTTCTAAATTAAGAGAGCTCTTGAATCAAGTAAGATGGTGATTGGAGCAGTTGCATTCATGTGCTTCAATGTTCAGTGACACGAATGGATTTAAGACTTAGGACAAGTGAGCATGTCACCTGATCTAACCTAACCTAATCCGTGAGATCACTCAAATCGGACATGCCTCGTTTCGTTTCAGGTATTTTGTGTTACCTCGATTATTTGAAAAGCGTTTTTACAAAATGAATGCATTTTTAATAAATATAAAAATTATAAATTAAAATGTCAGGACTTTTTTTAAAAAACGAGCAAATGTAATTAACTAATAAAATTTGTCTTTTATTTAATTCGTATAACGCTATAAATTTCAAATGTTTCGACTTAAAAAGTCATCAGTAATAATAAAGAAAACGTATTTATGTAACCTCATCCAATGTCAACTAACTATGATACATAATAAAAATTATCGCTCTAGTCTAATCTTATTTAGTTATTCCTACGTTAAAGATATTACGGATTGATTATTCTATATAAATTAACGTAAGTGAAAAATAAATTCTCATCAATATTGAATTAAATATAATAATTTTTTAATCAGAAATTAACATTTAATTGTACAGAATATAGTAGGATAGTCATTGAAGAAATCCTCATTCGGAATGATGTTACATGAAATTGTTGACTGAGCTGATTCTCGATAACAACCGAAGAACCAGGTAAACACAATTTTACAATTATGGACTTTCAAACTTCTGACTTGATACTTATTTCGATCCATAATATCTTAACGCAGGAATAACTAAATAAGATTAGTCTAGAGCGATAATTTTTATTATGTATCATATGTTAGTTCGTTGACATTGAATGGGGTTACATAAATACATTTTCTTTATTATCACTAATGAAGACTTTGTAAGTCGAAACGTTTGAAATTTATCGCATTATACGAAAGTAATAAAAGACGAATTTTATTAGTTAACTACATTTGCTCATTTTTTTTTAAAAAGTCTTGACATTTTAATTTATTATTATTAATTTATATATCATTTACATGAGCCTACTTTTCTATATAAAAATTATATTTTTATATTTATATAAAAAACGCATTTATTAAATGCGTTTTTATACAAAATGAATCTGAAATACTTTTTTCAATCATTACGCAGGCGTGCGTAATATGCCCCAATCGTATCTTTTGAGACAAATGGAATATGCTTTTAATTGATTTATGGAATATACTCTAACGCAACGCGAACATCTAGTTGCCATTCCCGGTGACGCGAACGTATTGGAGCGTGTTGGGCATGTTGGAGTGTGCGAAGCCAACAAACTTCATATTTCGACGTAATAACAAAATAAAAGTATAAAATAACTAGGCAGAAACTGGGATTCGATTGTGTATTTTGAAATGAGGTGAAAATTATAAGAATGAACAATGGTACTAGGTATTGGCCAATTAAATTATGAATATTCTAGTGAATTTGTTCACTTTTGTAATTTTCACCTCATTTCAAGATACACAATCGATTCTCTGATGTTCAAGGAATAAATTTACTAGATATTGATCAATGAAATTATTAGTATTCTAATAAATTCGCTCACTTTTGTCATTTTCACCTCATTTCAAAATACAGAATTGATTCCCAAGTAAAATAATATGATTGGTCGGTGCAAATTACATTTACGCAAATTACGCCACATATGATGGCATTCTAAGTTCTATGGGATTTCGGCCTATGAGCGACATTATGAACACATACCTTTAAGTAGAACGCAGCCCACGTTCGCATCTGCTCGCATCGCAATATTTTGTAGCTATGAAAATTTCCTAACCTGAATAGTCGATTTTTAGGATTAATATTTCAATTCACGAAGTAAAACGATTTTCTTTTTTCTTGTCAAATCTTAATTTTTACGCAAAATCGTATCTATTGACTGCAATTTTATCAAGATTCGAGGTGGATGAGGTATTCTTAATATTGAAAAGGAAAAAGGAAAAATTATAACATCGATGTAATTCACATGATTGAAAATGATTGAAAAAAACAAGAACGATTATGTATATATACATATTTTCGTAGCAATGGCTATCACTACTGATTAACTGTGATGAACAGTGAAATGAGGTGAAATGGCTAGATAATATATTGGTTAATGGATAAATCATTTCGTTGTAAAACGAATTCAAAGTGGCAGTTGGATTTATGGAAATTGTTAATCAGAATCTTATTATTGAATCTGAAACGTCGAATAATTGAGAATATAAATTCCGTCCCTAATATGTAGTCCCTTCCAAACGGTGGATGAATTAGGTTAAGACTGAATAGACTTAATTTACTTTTTCTATCAATATCGAACTGGTTGAAGTTAATAAGAACTGCTGAATTTAGTATTTATAATTTAGTATTTACAATCGGTGTGGAGTTTAAATTTATATCAATGCAAAACCAGATTTGTAATAATGAGGACTAGAAAGACCATTGCCATTCTCGGAGCTGGTTTGATCCTGGCTTGCTGTGCGATGATCTATTTAATGATGGACCTAACTCTTCTTCCTCCTGGACAAGGTCCTAAACTTTCCATGAGCAATGTAAGTTATCGTTTAGTAATATATATTTTCAATATGATTAAGGAGAAGAATATAGAGTGAAATTATAGGGAACCTATTTTTCTTTTTACATTTCTTTTTTCTTGGCAGTATTTTTATTAATGTCTTTTTAAGTAATTTCTGGATTTAAATTAATGATTGTGAAAAGTCTGTTTTCTTTGTAATTTTGCTCAAGATTTTTTTATAAAACTATAATTTTTTAAAAAAACGAACAAAATATAGTCTAATCATTTTTTTTTAATAAAAAAGTCATGAAATTCGATTTAGTATTTATTTAAAAAATTAACAAATTTTCAAGGAAATACTTCAAAGACTTTCAATGATTAACACTTTTTGTTTGTCTATTCCAAATCGAAGTTACAAGTAGAAAATTCTGTATTACATAACAATCAAATAAAAATTAAAAACACATTTTTGTTCTTCATCTGTTTCTAACCATTTCAAGTGTCAGAAGATATTTATCTTTATATAATTCTATTTTTTCCAAGTTTTTAATACATTCACAGTCACTGATATAGATTATATTGGAGGAGCATGCTATTAAGTCTATTCTATGATGTGCTCTTTGTTTCCTAATTCTTGCTTTTTCCCTTGCTTTTGCTTTTTTCCCCTTTGACCGTTTTAATAACAATTATATTTCTTGCTACTGTTTCTTCTGAAGTTTGTTAACTTTTATCTCGGGCGATAAACTACAAAAAACTGGATAAGAAGCAAAAAGACATATTGTAGACTTCAAAGCTATTGTGTCTATTGTTCATTAGAAGGAGAGAGAGGGGGGAGAGAAAATATAAAACAAGGATAACATGACATTGCTAGCGCGTCAACACAATCATAGTAAGAGTATCCACTAGCAACTAGCTGTAGTAAAATATGTAATACATAGTAATACATGTTTTACTACAGCTAGTTGCTAGTGGATACTCTTGAATAATACCTATACCTATACAGACTCCCTATAAAAGTCAAGAAACACTATACAGACTCCCTATAAAAGTCAAGAAACACATATCTCAAAAATCAACTACAGCGAAAAAAAATGTAAGAAAGCAAAGTTACAAGGCTGTAAAAAATGTATCTAATGTTTGCTCTAATATTTGTATCTAATATTTGAGAGCAGGGTTGTCAGAAAAACTTAATTTACAAAACCCAAGTACAAATTACATTGTTTTTGTATAATATTAATATGCCTTCGTATCTTTAAATAAAAACTTAATAAAAGTAACATATTTATTACTTAATTACTAATTCATTAAACTTATAATAATATATATAGTGACTCGCATTAATATTCGGATATCATAATAATAGAGAAACTATTATCTTTGAAATATAGTTTTTGTAGGATTAAGAAATTTATGATTTTTTAATCATTGAAAATGCTCATTATAAATATAAAAAAACATTAATTTTGTTTATTTAATTAATGTAGTTTTCAATGTAAAAAAATATTAAATAAGTCAATCCTTAATTTTAGAATTATAAAAATTCGGACACTCAATATATTTTATATTTACTGATCCTCGGAAATCAAGTTAATTTATTCCTTGTTTACCATGAAGTAAATCATACAAAATATATGATGTTGAATTAAATTAACCTAGTTTCCCCAAGATCACACAGTTAACAGTGAAAATGAGACGTAAAGATAAAAATAATTCATTTGATGAATGCCAACTTGTTATTTTTTATTGTGAAAAAGACAAATCATATCGAGAAATCGGTAAATTAATAAATTTGAATAAGAGTACAGTAGCAGATATTGTAAAAAGATATGTTCGTGAAGATCGTATTGAATCAATATCTTAAAAAGATTTCAAAAACAAACGATTCTCTTTCGAATGCCATTGGTCCCATTTTGATATCTTTAAAAATGACCGACTTCCCCTCTTAGCGCATTTCCGAAATTTTGAAATAGCTGTACCTCCGAATCCTTTGGGGTACAAATGAAAGTAGGAGAGGTACAAGTACAAACGATTTTCTTTCGAATGCTGTTGGTCCCATTTCGATATCTTGAAAATTGTCTAATGTTCGCATATAGGGATCGCGCAAAAACTGAAACACACTGTATCTCCGAATTCTTTGAAGTACAAACGATTCTTTTTCGAATGGCATAAATGAAATTTAAAAATCTTAAAGTTGCGCGCTGGCCATTTTTTTATTTTTCACTTTTTGTTTAACTGTTTGAGATACAAACGAAATAATAATCAGTACAAACAAGCATAAACGAAGTACAAACAAAGTACAAACGGCCTACAGTAATAATTTTTATTTTTGATAAAATTGAGCGCCAGGTTCACATCGGTGGTACATCCTAATACATTCGTCGAGCATTAAAAGAAAGTTACAAGGGTAAAGTTGCTTGTAAAAAGCCGTTCATAAATGAAGCGAATCGGAAGAAAAGATTAATTTTCGCCAAATTTATTTCTTCTTAAGAACAAATATGATGAAATGATATAATATTCGCAGAGAGCAAATTTAACATTTTTGGATCTGACGGACGAAAAATGATATGGCGAAAAGCAAACGAAGAATTCAAACTGAAAAATTTGAAGTCAACTATGACACACGGTAGTAGAAGTTTAATGGTTTGGAGTTGTATTTCAAGTAAAGGAGTGGGTGAATTAGTTTTCATTGACGAAATTTTGGATAAAAATTTAAGTATTCTAAAAGACAATTTAATAAAAAGCTAATAATATGAATATACGAAGTAGTTTCGAATTTTATCAAGACAATGATCCAAAACATAAGTCGCAAATAATACAAGAATATTTATTATACAACTGTCCAAAAGTATCACATCCTCCACCACAGTCACCAGATTTAAATCCTATAAAAAATTTATGGAATTTATTAGACCGTAACATTCAGATTATGCCTACAAGATCAAAAGAAGAATTAAAATTACGATTAAAAGAGAAATGGACGCGCATTACACCAGATTATTTAACAAAAATTATTTCTAACATGCCTAAACATTTGCAGCTTGTTATTAAACAAAAAGTTCCAACAAAGGATTAAAATTATTATCATTTTTTTTTTAGTTTATAGATTTATGTTATTAAATCTTGTTAAGTCTGAATATTTTTGCGATACCAGAATTAAGCAAAATTCTGTCTATAGTTTAATATATTCGAAACTGTATCATATAAATAGTAATTATAGAAATAAAAGTAATTATAGAAATAAAATTTATATTTCTAATAATTATAATGAATTTTTCAATTTAAAACAAAAGCCGTAAATTTCTTACTCCAACAAAAATTATGTTTAGAAGGTAATAATTTCTAAAGTATCATGATGTCCGAATATTAATGCAAGTCACTGTATGTAAGTGATATAAGTAATATAATATTGCATGTATAACTGAATAATTATATCAGTCTATGAAAAAATATAGATGATATTATTTAATAATTGCAAGTACTGTAAGATAAACTACATATATCATCAGTTTGATTCAGAAACTAACATAAATGATATTAAGGATATTCTTCGACTGCAGTTGTGCTTAACATAATGAGCACATTTTTTAGTATTCACTATTAAAATTTTTTTAAATTTTATGAAAAAATTTATTTTATCACTTTTATATAGTAAGATATTATATAGTAAAATGTTCCAAGTATTAATGTTTTTATACAAGTTTTTTTATACAATATAAAATGCCTCCCACCTTCGTTGGCCTGCCATCGGTCAAAAAAATAGCAACTTTGCTCAATGATTTCTTAAAAACGAATACCGGAAGCCATATTCAGACAAATTTCTTGTGATAATTAAGTTTTATGTCTCATAAACAAGTGAGTTTATCTTTTTTTAAACGTTTTTTAAAGTTATTAAATGTCAATTTTTCATAGGAACACTTATTTTTATAAGTTTCGAAATTGTAAGATTTATGTCTCGAACTTTTAATTTAAATTTAAATTTAAAAAATTTGTTGGCATATATTTTTTTCTTAAAATATGAACTTTGAATTTTATTTTTTTTTTTTTAATTATTAGATTTCATCGATTTGAACAAAAGATATAAATTTTTGAATGTATTAATACTATACTCATTTATGTTTACATATTTTCAAAAATAAAATATTTAAACAAATAGATTTGTTAATGAATGTATAAATTCTTCATTTAGAATAAAGTAAATAAGTTAAAAATAAATTAAAGAAGCTATATGAATTTTTAATGTGTTTTAAATCCATTTAATCCATTTAAAAAAAATACATCGGACATGAATGATTCTCGTATACACTTAATGGATATTAAAAAAATGTATACACTATGAGGGTTAAGAACCCTGAAAATCATTACTTTTAGATCTGGAAAACCAGGAAAAAATCTTGAATTCAAATCTACTACTTTTACACTACTTTTAGATCTGGAAAAATGTTGAAACGTTGACCTGGTCCTAAATCCTGATTATATCGGTTGGACTTTTTGAAGTTATGTTTTTGTCGAACAGATACTATGTTTTTAAAACAATAGACGACTGTATTAGAATCCTAAAATAAAATCCCATAAACCACACAAATCCCCAAAATGGTTTTTGTCAACTCTGTTTGGGAATTCACAAAGTCATATGAAGATCAAGTTGAATTTTTTTAATGGAAGCCTCATGTTTTGCATATTTTTGTAGTTTATTCCTTTTTAAATTTCTTTTTTAAAACGCTATAATAAAGTATTGAGTATTGAGTAACATTTTATTGAGTAACATTTTCAGTTATGAGACTTGAAAGTTATTCGAATGTTTTTATATTAAAAAAATTAAATCGTTTTAAACAACATTTAGAAGGTTTTTGTTTAGATTTTGGATAATACTAATAAACACTGCGATATTATAACTGAGATAAGTTATAGAGTCTCATAACTCAAAAGTATTTAACGAAAAAATATTTTGTTATATTTTGATAAACTTTTGAAATAAGCCTTTGAAATAAGTTACAATATGCAATAAAAAATGGAGGATTCCATTTTAAAAAACTGAAC